GGCGGGGTCAGCAGGGCCAGGTCACTCGGCTGCTCATGTGACAGCCCCGAGCGTGACCTTTATCAGTGGGGCCCGTGCTGACTCAGCACACGGATGTGGACGCACAGACAGTGTGCCGTGTGCCGAGGCCACAGCTACACACAACACTTTTTTCTGGCAATTTGATGGGACCAATTGTTCTTATTCATCCTACGCAAACTCAGTCAGAGGCACAAATTGCAGGAATTTTTAAAGGGAAAAAACAGAGACTATGGACATGCCGGCTGGCACACCTAGAATAGGCAGTGAGGAGGCAGACAGAGATGTGAGCTGGGAGCCAGCTGGTGTGGCTCAGTGGTGGAGCAGTGACCTATGAACCAGGAGGTCACGGTTGGATTCCCAGTCAGGGCACAGGCCTGGGTTGCGGGCTCCATCCCCAGTAGGGGGCGTGCAGGAGGCAGCAGATCCATGGTTCTCTCTCATCATTGATGCTTCTCTCTCTCTCCCTTCCTCTCTGCAGTCAATAAAAAAATTATTTTTTTAAGTGATGGGGCACCAGTTCTGAGCCTGGCTGCAAGAGGCAGGCACATTCCGCCCTCTCTCCGAACCCTCCCAGGAACAAGCCAGGGCCAGCCTGCTGGAGGGGCAGTGACCACGTGGAGCAGAGAGGGCGGCCCACGGAGGCCACCCTAGCTGGCCAGCCCCCAGCCCTCCTGGGAGCCAACGACAGACATGAGTGAGCTCAGTCCAGCGGAACCTGCCTGGAGCCCAGACTCCCAGCCCCCGGGCTCGGCAGCTACTAGTAAGTAAATGCTGTTTGGAAACGGTCTGCTAAGAACCCAAACTAGCATCTCTCCGCTGCCTCCATTCACTCCCCTTTCCTCGGAGCAAGTCCCCAGCTGAGTTAGGGTTTTTCAAAACGCTGACACGCCGAGCTCAGAAGGTTCGCCGTCACTGGAATAAACCATGAGAACAAGTATTTCATCCCGGTGACATGTTACAAAGCACGACTCGCTTTCCTCTCCATAATCAGTGCACCGTTAAACCTAACGGGGAAAAGTAAGACTCTGCTCAACAGAGGAATAAAGACAAAACACCTAATAGTTAAAGAATGCTCCTGAGGGAATGAAAGGAAAAATTGGTTTTCAAAGCGCACGGCCGGCCCGCCCCCGGCCCTGGCCACGCACCTTGGCGGTGATGTGGAAGGACCGGTGCCCGCCCCCGGCGATCTGCTTCTTCATGACGCTGAAGCGGTTGAAGCGGCACAGCAGGAGGCCGGCGCTGTGCACCCGCAGGTTGAAGTCCACGTCGTCACACAGGAACCTGCTCGGAGCCAGAGGGGGGGGACAGGTCACACTGAGGGGCCCTCACGTCCCCCGGCCGTGGCATGTGAGCCTGGTACCAGGATGACAGGGAGGGGCAGGCTCAGTCCTCCCTACGGACCTGACAGGCCCCGGAGGGCAGAGGGCAGCGAACAGGGAGCCGGCCCGGCTGCGATGAGTCGGCACAGGAACGGCGGGCGTCCCGAGGGCAAACACTACAGAAGGACCGCCACCTGCGACGGACAGGCCCGCTGGGAGGACGTGCAAAACCTTCCACCAGTTTGTTGAAAAGAACAAACCTCCCCCAACAAACAAAACAAAAAAAATCAGCCACTTTTTCAGCTGAGGAAAACAAGGCTCATGCCAAGCCGGCAAGCGGCAGAACCCAGACCCCTGGCAGGGCGGGCTGGCCCCAAACTCCCTCCTTCGGGCACCTCAGGTGTGTGCCCACTGCCTGGCCCGGGGACACTCCCCGCGGTGACTGGGCCAGGGCGTCGGCGACTGGG